CCTAATAAATGTCCTTACAGAAAATCTAACTGCTCATTTTAAATCTACACTTTGACTTTTAATACTTAACTACAACAAATATCACATACTTTAAGACTTTTACTCAAGTTATATTCCTAAAGGAGACTTTAACTGTTATTAAAGTCATTTTTTGGTAAGATACTTGTACTTTTACTCAAGTATCACTTTGTGGTACTTTATAGCACACTGAGCGGTGTGGTATAAAGTACTACAATGTGTGGATGTACGTCTACAACTGACTCACTTTTAACCCAGATCAAGATGGCTGCCAAAGCAAAGTGACATTAGAAAACACAAAAATGACTACAATTCAGTAAATGTTTTATAACAGATCAAGGAGGGGCAACAGGTTTTTTGGGGGGGCTTTGCTCTCCGCTCGGTGGGACCCCTGGTTCTGATAGTCAGTGAAGGTTTTGCAAACACTAGGGTGAGAAAAACAAAGTACATAAAAACCACGGAAGCTCTACTGTTATAGATATATACTTTATTAATTCTCTCTGATAAAATAAAATTACAAAATAATTTCAACCTCAAACGGCACTTTCCTTGTTCGTAATTTGTTTTTAACGTGTTGAGAATACATATATCATAATTGTCATGACGAATGAGAAGAATACTATGGTTTTAATAATGTAAGCTGTTAACTGTGTTTAATCATAATGGTAGAAAAGACTAAGCGTTACAAAGCTAAGTTTCGTTAAAGAGCATTTACTGTACAATATTCCAAGCGCGTGTAATTCAGTATTCCGGCCACAGCGTGTCGCTATAAGATAGTTTGTCGATATTGTTTCCAAAAGCAAAAAAGTAGGCTTGTCTCTTTTTTTTCTTGTCTCACTATAAGAATTCCTTTCAGATAAAATTTATTTCAATAACAGACATTCCTTCATGGCCATTGCTCCTTTTGTAAGGTTTATTTGTGTTCCCTTATGTTCATCCATTGTCCATGTCCCTCCACATCTGTCCAGCAAGTCCAATGGCATTTTTTATTTTTTATTTTTTTCACAGTTATTCCCTCAAAAATATTGTCAAGATGTCTGCAGCGTCTTCTCCGCCTTTTCTTTTTTTTTTTGTCTCCGGTGATGGCAGCGTTCCCTGCCTCTTATTGAAGTCCATTAAAGAGAGAGCACTTTGGTTGTTGAAGTGTGTGTGTGTGTGTGTGTGTGTGTGTGTGTGTGTGTGTGTGTGTGTGTGTG